CCCCCCCCCCCCCCCCCCCCACCAAAAAAAATGAAAAGAAAAGAAAGAAAGAAAAAAAAGCAATCTCAAAATGGTCAATTCGCTTGCAAACCTAACCAATCAACATCTTTTGCAATAATTAACGACAGCAAAGAAGGATAGTTTAGCACAAAAATGTAAAAAATTAGAGGACAAAGATGATAGGTTCCCACAAATAACAAGTGCAAAAACCAGGGTGAAGTATTCATTAATCCCACAGCAAAATTCTCTGACTCCGTCAATGCATTTTAAATCTCTAATGAACACAATGCATTTTAAATTAACAAATCAATCATACCTCCATCCACCTACCTAAAACGCCTTTTGCTCACTTCTTGCTCTTTTTCCCTTTATTAAGTGCCAATTAGCAGATTAATATTTTTAGCACTAGCAGAAACCTATAATTTGTGTAAATCAAATGAAAAAATGAGCAATTTTCAGGGAAATTTATGATTTTTAAATGGATAGACCCTAGAAATTCAAGTACCCAAATAGAAAATAAAGGGAACATCTATTTGGATTTATTGATGGCACAAATTAGTATCCTAAGCAAACTAGTGAAGAAAATGGAAAAGTAACAGACCTTCTCTTCTTCTTTTTTCCTTCTTTAACAACCTCTTTTCTTCCGTCTTGGCATCCTCCAGTGGCAGGTGTGGTGGCGGCGACGGCGGTCTTTTCCTTCTTGGAACCCTCCAGTGGCTGCGGTGGTTGGCGAAACTGGGGAGTATAAATCAACGCTTCTCTCCCTCTATTTCTAACTAAAACCCATAGGTTTGTTTAAGCATTAGGCGGATTGTGACTGATATGGCCAGATTTTTCTCACGAGACCCCAAAAAAATTGAGGCCCTAGGCGATGACCTTGTTGGCCTTATGACAGGGCCAGCCCTGCTCTTTCAACACAGACGACAGCACGGGATTGTTGTAGTTTTGTGGACTTCATCGGCTCTGGACAGTAGAAAGGCGATCGGCAACGACGCTATGGATTTGAAATCAGAGAAACGAGATACACAGTGAGAGAGTTAGGGAGTTAGGGTTAAGGGGAGAAGATTAACCCTTAAGGGGAATGATAGATATTTTTCTTCTTTAGGAAACGTGTTCTTTGGTTTTGGTAGGTATTTTTTATTCTTCAGCCTGACATTAGATTGTACAATCTCTTCACTAGTCAATTCTCATTTAATTGGGACCTGTAGGGTATTTCAAATTACCTAAAGGGGCAAATATGTCAAAAAATAACATTTTTGTAATGTAAAAAAAAAAAGTGACATTTTTGTAGATGTGTTGGAAAAATTTGACATCCTCTATAATTTCCACTTATTTTTTTAATGCTAGTAAGATGATGTGTAGAAGAACATTTGTTTGACATAAACAAAATGAAAAATAAAAAATGACATCATGTATAGTAAAATTGGATTCATTTACTATTGCATGAATAGTAGACTTTCCTTTCCCTTTTTATTAGAAGTTAGACAAAAATGACTTCTTTTACAGTTGAGCACTTGAAACAAGGGCTGAAGTATCATTGTATTTGATTAGTGTCTAAAAGTGCTTCAAAGATATATCATTTAGAAGGCATTTTACATTCACTTTGTTTAAAAACGCTAATGTTAGTCTCTAATTCCAATTCTCATGCCGTAAATTCAATTTCCATAAATACAAGGTTAAAAATGCAATTAATTGAAATACGTATTTACATACATGGTGGCATGAGTATTATACATTTGAAAGAGTATCTATTTGATGTGTTTCACTTGTATTTCCAAATTAGAACAAGTGGAGCAAGTGGAGGAAAATAATGTTGAAAAGTCAAAAATAGTGACTGTCTCAAGCAAGAAGCAGCTGTTGGTAAAATAATCATAACTTGAGCTTCAGACATTGGATCGAGGTGATTCAAGTTGGGTTGGAAAGACAAGGCACGTTTCTACAACTTTCATGTTTTGGAAGAAGTCAAATTCGCATCACAAAGCAGCCAAAATTACCGTCCAAAGTCCAGCTTGTTACCTGCCGGATACAGCTTTACCTGTGAAGCAGCACTTATTATTTTTGTCATATCTGGAGTTATATAGATCCAATGAACCTGATATTTAAACCAATGGAAATCTAACTCAGGTGGAAATAATTTATCTGTTGATTATAAGTCCAAATTCGCTGCACAATATATCTGAAAATTGGCATCAAGTTGCATGTTCCAGCTGTCTTGAAGCTGAACAGAAACAAGTTGTATTGCCTACTTGAATTATGGATGTTCCTTTGCCTATAAAAGGGGACCTTGGCCACGATTTTGAAGAATCAAATTCTCTCCATCATATTCTAGTGTCCTTCATTTTCTTTGTAACATTTCACTATGTATTTCTAAACATTTAGCTAGAGCTAAGGGTGAAACTTTGATGAATGTTTAGTATTGTCTTTGATCTTTCATTTTGTTCTTCAATATTCATCTTCTTACTTGGTTGAAGTTTGTGTTCTACAAATGGTTTTGGTTTGTTAAAGACTTTGATTTATTGTTGACAATTTTGGCACAATAAATGCTTAGATAATCTCTACAT